CTTGAGAGCTGAGGTGAAGTCTCAACAAGCAGCACCAACTAGCTGTGCAACCTTGGGTGAAATAATTGTAGCTGACAATCGACCACTTACTATAACGGGTTCCCAGGTTATCCTGGTAGTAACACTTTAGAGGGTGGGTCTGTCAGAATTTTCTGCTCACAAGCAACAGAGGTCGATACTGAGATTTTATATAAAACATAGTTCATGGAACTGAAAGCTTAAGAATTAGGTTGAGGGTGCTGATACCAGGGCGACTTGAGGGATCCAGAGAGCAGAAAGGAATCAGCAGCCTCTTCAGTCTGGCCACTGCAGTGGTGGCCACGCTTGGCTGGCTATTCTCAGGGACTGTTTTTAACCCCTTTCCCTGCAGCCTTCGCTTATAAAAGCTGGAAAAAGGAAAGAGTAGTTTTGCCAGTCTCCCTTTTGGCTAGGGGTGGCCATGAGACATTTCCTGCCAATAGATATGACCAGACAATAGCTGGAAGCTTCCCAGGAAAGATTTTACTTTCCTAACAAGAGGGACAGAAACAACTTTCCCTTCATCTCTTCTTCCTGCCTTAAACCTGTGCAATGCTGGAACTTCTGCAGTCACTTTGCGACCATGAGGGGAAGACCAAGAATGTCACAAATACACCCACTGAGACATTGCTGAGCAGCTGAGCCAATGCCAGCAGGGGCCTACCTTCCGACTGTTTATGCAAGAAAATCAGACTGTCTGATCAAACTGCTCTGAGTTATCGTTTACTTGCAGCCTTCCTGAGACACAGCTTCAACCAAAAAAAAATTTTCACTCTAAGTATAACTCCACTCAAGACCCAAATTCCAGGAGAGACCTTGCCCACATTTTAGCTAGAGGAGGGCAGACCACGTTCACTATCAGGCCCACAAAGACAGCACTTACAAAGTAGAAGCAATGCCCCAACTGATAATTGCAGTTGTTATCAGAAGGGAGGGGGAACAGAAGCCAAGAGGCTAAAAAGGAAGTGCCCGTCACGGTAGGCCCCATTGCTACAACTATCGGTGACACAAGAGGGTCAGAGTGGCGAAGCAGTGTGCACAGGGCCTCGGAGCTCATCAGCGGCAGAGGCACTCAAAAGGACCTTCTACAACTGTGCAAATGTATCACGTTTAAATAAAGGCCTGTTGCAAAGACATCTTATTGTAAACCTAAATTAAAAAAAAATCTCAAGGCTACTCTATTCACATCATGTACACATTATTGTTATTCCAACCTTTAGTGTGTTTTTAACTTTGTCCTATAGCTCCAGGAGGAAAAGGGTGGCTTAGTTAGCAATTGCCGGTAGACTCTTCTCACTAGTACTTGTCTTGGTCAGTGATGTTCACTTGCAAAGAATGGAAACTTTCTCAAACTAGTTTGAGCAACACAAAAAGGCTGAGGGAGCTGTGGCTCTGAGAAACCTTCCTGCCTCTGCGGGCAGCTGCCAAGGCACAGTCCCGGCCAGTGAACTGGGCAGGCAACGCGGACTGTTCATGCTCCAGTGGGTTTGGGTAGAGGCCACACTATTCCTAGTCACAGAGAGGCATTAAGTGAAATACATACACATGTTGCTTCGAACAGCACCTGGCACACGGGAAGCCCTCAACTTGTGACCGCTACATTTCCTGTTGAGAACTAGTGCCAGGTCCCATGTTATCTACACCAGCAGAGTTTATGATTATAGAGGTCCCATGTTATCTACACCAGCAGAGTTTATGATTATAGAGCAGAGTTTATGATTATAGAACGTGGCAACACATTCCCCTAAAGGCCATCAATTCAATGGGTTAGACTGACAGTGACTGATGTATCTGTAAAACCTGAAGCCAGACTAGCAGGGGTTGGTTGAAGCAGCATGAGCACTGGTTGTATACTGGGGTTGGCTGACATACTGGGACTGACATACTGGGGTTGGCTTGTAGCCAGGAACAGCAAGGCCGGAAATGGCAGTCCCCCTGGGGAAGCCGATCGCAGCAAAGCAGCTCCCCACTCCACAGTCCCAGAATCTGGACTCGAGGTTCAGCGCGCTTACCCTCTGCAGACCGTGTGCTCTCCCCGCACCCCCCTCCCCCCGCCCAGCCCAGAGGCTCTGGACCCACACAGCTGCTGATGAAAAGCAGACACAGACACCTAACTGAGAAGTACTGTGGTCATTTATTTTACTCCAAAATAATATAAGTGTGTAAATATGAAGCTTCACTTGAGATAAAAGTTTTGTGGTGAATACTCCTATAAGCTCCTAGCTTATAGGCTATAAGCTATGGGCATGGTCAGTACTTCCTTGGGCAGGAGAAGTCCTTTTAAGGAAAGAGTCACACCTCCTATTTTGTCTTGGAACAGAATTAAAGATGATGTAAGGGAAGACACTGAGCCAGCGGGGGAACACAGAGCACCCGGGTAATGCTAGGTGAGGCTTTATTCGGCTAGGGCGTCGACAGAACACAGGTACTGCCCCAGGTCTCTTCTTTCTTTCTTTTTTTTTTTTTTAAATTTTTTTATTGATTATGCTGTTACAGTTGTTCTATTCCCCCTTTAGTCCCCTCCACCCTACCCCTCATCCCCACCATTACCCCCCCTTTAGTTTATGACCATGTGTCTCAAGTCCTTTAGATTCTATATTTCCCATGCTATTCTTGCCCCCCCATCTATTTTCTATCTACTGTCTATGCTACTTATTTTCTGTACCTTCTCCCCCCCTTCTCCTCCTCCCACTCCCCTGTTGCTAACCCTCCTTGAGATCTTCATTTCTATGTTTCCACTCCTAATCTAGCTGTTCTTTTAGTTTGCTTTCGTTTTAGGTGTGGTTGTTAATAACTGTGAGCTTGTTGTTCTTCCACTGTTCATGTTTCTTTAACTTCTTTTTCTTAGATAAGTCCCTTTAACATTTCATATAATAAGGGCTTGGTGATGATGAACTCCTTGAATTTGATCTCATCTGAGAAGCACTTTATCTGTCCTTCCATTCTAAATGAAAGTTTTGCTGGATAGAGCAATCTTGGATGTAGGTCTTTAGATTTCATGACTTGGAATACCTCTTTCCAGCCCCTTCTTGCCTGTAAGGTCTCTTTTGAGAAATCTGCTGACAGTCTGATGGGGACTCCTTTGTAGGTGACTGTCCCCTTAGCTCTTGCTGCTTCTAGGATTCTCTCCTTCATTTTAATCTTGGCTAATGTAATTACGATGTGCCTTGGTGTGTTCCTTCTTGGGTCCAACTTCTTTGGTACTCTCTGAGCTTCCTGGATTTCCTGGAAGTCTATTTTCCTTTGCCAGATTGGGGAAATTCTCCTTTATTATTTGTTCAAATAAGTTTTCCACTGGCGGCTGTGCCTTTCCCCCTTCTGGTACCCCTATAATTTGGATGTTGGAGCGTTTAAAGATGTCCTGGAGGTTCCTAAGACTCTCCTCATTTCTTTGAATTCTTGCTCCTTGACTCTTTTCTGTTTGGCCATTATTTGCTTTCTTCTGGTCCACTCCATTGATTTGAGTCCCAGTTTCCTTTTCATTGCTATTGGTGTCCTGTGCAATTCCATTCATTTCAATTAGTTTCGCCTTCATATATTTGTCTAATTTGTCGGTATAATCAACCAGTTCTGTGAGGATCCTGATCACCAATGTTTTAAACTGTGCGTCTGTGAGTTTTGCTATTTCTTCATCGCTTAGATTTATTGGCTCTGGGGCTCTGAGATCCTCCTGCGCCATTCTTGATCTGTTCTGGCCCTTTAAGTGTGAGAAAAGGCGCCTTGGATTCCCAGGTCGCTGGGTTGTGACGCTGTATGTGGGGGCGTGGTCAGAGCGGGGAAATGGCGGCCCCCTCTGCTGTTTCTCACAGCTGGGTGCGGAGGAACAGCGCCTTAGGTGGTTCACCTGGGCCGGGCCACTCAGAGTCGCTGGGTTATGACGCTGTATGTGGAGGTGGGGTCAGAGCAGGGAAATGGCGGCGCCCTCCACTGCCGCTAGCCGTGGGGACCTGCCGGCCCGGTCCAACCGCCCACTCCCTCGCCTGTCCACCCGCGCACAAATGCACGACCTCAGTCAACACGCAGCCCCGCTGCCTCGCTGTCCCCCCCCCCCCCCCGTGGTCGCTCGCCTGGTTGCTCGCTCGGTCGCTCACTCGGTCCGACCCTGTGCCTGGATTCCACGCCTGAGTCCGTCTGACCGAATTTTCCTGTGCAACCCTGCTCCGCCAGCCGCTGGTTTCGCCCCTTACCGGTAAGGCTGAAGAATTTGTTGTTAACGGACTTCCGAAAAGTTCAATTTTCCGTGTTCTGGCTGTGTTTTCTGTTGCTAATATTTAGTTTTCTCTAATCTTGGTTGTGTGAGAAGGCACGGCACATCCACCTATGCCTCCATCTTGGCGGAAGTCCACTATCCAGGTCTCTTCTTTCATCGGGCACCTTGCGTATGCTGCTATCCTTATTGGCCAATGACCACACTCATGCATTTGATTAGATTTTATTTTCAAAAGAGGGGTTCCCACAACATATGGCTGTGAGGATCGCTGGGGACTTTGTCTTGCAGATTACATAATCAAAGCTTTTTTTTTTTTTTTAAATGTGCATCAAGAAATCTCATTTTCATGTGCACAAGTCAGGCTTGTCTGTTAAATGCAGCCAAGATGCTAAGAAAATGAATGTCATGAAGTCTACCAAATCTTGAGAATTCTTCACCAGCACCCACAAGAAAAAGGTGAAACTCTGCTTTTCTGAAAAGGGGTATCACTTTAGGAAACTGCTAGAGCTTCTGAAATTCTCCACATTTGCGAGTGTGCTAAAAGCCCTTACAAATAAATTTTGCCATCTGTGCCAGGTCAGCTAGGAGTCAACGGGCTGGATGTCAGCACGTAAGACACAATCCTGCAGACCTATTCATGATGACATCTGAAGGTCTCAAACTGCAGCCCCGAGGCTCTTCCCATGCCATTCATACAGCAGACACACACAAAGCAAGGGTATTCCCATTAAGAACACGTAAACTAAGCACTCTTAATACTGTAAAGCACATGTAGCACAGAAGGTTCAGATATTTAATCTTGAACTGTGTTTGACAAAATGAAAATATAGCATCACTCCAATGAAAAAAGGGAGGGGAACAGTTTGAACACATTATTAGTTTACGTGGTTAAGTTTTTCTGGAGAAAGAGTGCAAAGCTCATGCAGAATTTAGAGGCAGAAGAAGATTCAGATTTCAGCCAGTGGTACCTCTCTAAGGACCTGCTGTTTCTATGCCCTGGCTTCTGGCAAGCTTGCCTCCTACTCTGCCAGACACCTAGTTGAGGACGTAACAGTCATTCCGATCACTCTGCATTTCGAAGCTTGCTGCCCTGACTGACAGCCACATCTGGAGCATTCATCACGCCTCCGTGGCAACACAGGGATCAGAAACAGAGAAGATGAGAGCATTCCCTGGGAGATTGTTGAAGACAACCCCTCTGCCCCAATCCGCCCCCACCAAGTGCCCATCATACTATTTAACTACATCCGAGGAGCGAGAGGGGGGCTAGCAGATGACTGCAGGGAATCTAGTCAAGCTGTCACTGCAAAGAGCAGAGGACAAAGCGTGTAACCCAGCTCACAGCACACACACTTCACCCTTAAACTTCCTCCCTCAAATGGGCTTCCCTGCAAATAGGACTGGTCTATAGTTTGAGTCTCTCTGTCTCTTGCTCGTATTCAAGTTGCTTAAGCTAGTTTTAGATTTTCCCAATAGGATCCAGCTGGAGAATATAAAGCTTTTGGAATGTGGCAGCAAAGGAAATAAGGAATTGTACAGCAACAGGGAGTTCAGGAGAATCTCTCCTGGTATCAATTTACATAAAAAGTCTCCAGAATGCGGTGAGCAGCGGAGTCACCAGCAGAACGGTGGTCCCGGTGATACTCGTCCCACCACTTCTGTTACACAGGTCCTTCTGGCAGCACTCGTAACGTAGCTTACTCTCTCCGAATTGTTCAGAAAGGTGTTTGAAATTGCAATTAGCAAATAACCAACACTGGTAGTGCGTTTGTACATCTGTGGGAGAGACACACAAAAAGGGTAAGCAAGCCAGTGGGCAAAGCTCTTTCCCTGCCTTTGAACCCCCCATTTGATGCCTTGGAACTTGTGGACATTTGGGCAGGAATGTGCGCCCAGCTGGGTTGTAAAAGGGAACAGTTAGGTAATGATACAGCTCCCACTGGAACTTTTCCATAAAACCAATCCCTCCTCAGAGTCGGCACGACTGTGGGTAGAGGAGAGGCAACAGGCAATCATACAGGTATTTTAAGAGATTTACCAAGATTTTTGAACAACTGCCCACACTGACCCAGCAATTCTATTTCTAGAATTTACTCTGAAGGTATCTGTAAAAAACAGTTAAGATATATGCCCCCAAAGTGGTCAGAACAGTACTATCTGTAACAGCAATAAACTATAAAACCAGCCCATTAATAAAAAAATGTGTGAAGAAATTATGGTAGAGTTCCATACGGTGATATTCCATATAGTGATGACATAAGCCTGCAGGTGTTAATGTGGATGAACCTGAGTCCTTTAAAAATACAGAAAAATGGATAAATTGGACACTATCAAAATGAAAACATTTGTGCTTCAAAGGACACTATCAAAAATACTCAAAAGGGGAGAAAAATGAACAGAAATTGCATATCTGACATAAGAGTCTAATCAGAATACATGTATAACTCAACAGTAAGAAGACAAATAACCCAATTAAAAAATGAGCAAAGGATGTAGCTATTTCTCCAAAGAGGATATACAAATGGCCAGTAAGTGCATGAAAAGATGCTCAATATCATTAGTCATCAGAAAAATACAAATTAAAACCATAGTGAGAAATTCTGGTCAAGACAGTGGAGCAGGTAAAGCCTGTGCTTGCCTCTTCCCATGATCACATCGAAGTTAAAGCACAGAACAAACACCTGGAGAACCATCTGAAGACTAGCTGAATGGAGCTCCTATAACTAAAGATATACAGAAGAAGACATGCAGAGACTGGTAGGAGGGACAGAGACAAGAAACAGGCTGGTCCCATACCCACACAAGGCGGTGGAGAATCTGGAGGGATATCTTGGCTGCAGAGGTGCCCCATGAAGACCAAGGGGTCCCAGCCCCATACCAGGTCCCCCTGCCTATAGTACCAGAGCTGTAAAGAGGGGTTCCCACAACATATGGCTGTGAGGATCGCTGGGGACTCCCTCTGCTGGGTTTCCAGCAACCCAGACTGGAAACCCAGGCGTCCTCTTAAAGGGCCGCACACAAATTCACCTGCTCACAAACACTCACCCTGTGCTCCAGCAAAGGGCCAGCAGCTCAAAAGGTGACAGGGACATATGGGGAAAAACTGAATTGTGTGGCTTCAGGACAAAGGCTGGAGGGGCAGTGGCCACTGGGCCCTCTCCCCGCACAGCCTGCAGGTGCAAGGAGGTACTAAATCTGAATCTGCAACAATCCAATAAACACCACTTGCCCACCCTGGTGACTCCAGCCAGGCCTGAAGCCCAGGCTTCAGATTTCCCTAAAACCTCGGTGTTTTCCGCCACCTTGTCTCCCAGATTGCTGACTCAGTCTTCTGCTCCATCTGATCTGCTGTTGACTCCCTGTAATGTATTCTCTGTGTCAGTTATTGGATTCTTCTTTTATGACTGGTCCTTTTTTATGTCCTTTTTTATGTTCACTATCTCTTAGCCGAAGTTGCCACTGAGTTTATCTATCTCTCCCTAAGTTCACTGAGCATCCTTATAACCAGTTTTTCCAACTCTGTACCTAGTATATTGCTTGCCTCCATTTAATTCAGGTTTTCTTTTTTCTGGAGTTTTCTCCTGTTCTTTCATTTGGGACATGTTTGTTTGCCTCCTCACTCTGGCTGCCTCCCTGTGTTTGTTTCTAGGTGTTAGGTAGAGCTGCTATGTCTCCCGGTCTTGGCCTGGTGGCCTTATGTAGTTGGTGCCCTGTGTGGCCCAGTGGTGCAGTCTCCCTGGTCACCTGAGCTAGGTGTTCCAGGAAAGTCCCTTGTGTGGGTTTTATGTCCCCTTCTGTTCTGGCTGAGCCTTGACTGCTGTTGGCACAACAAAGGTGAGGTTAGCCTCTAGGCTTGCTGGTTGTGAGGACTGGCCAGGACCACAGTGGACAAGCTACTGTGCAGGGGCTGACCCCATGGAGAGGGATTTGCTTTAGCAGGATCTGGCAGGTGCCAAGACCACCCTGTGGGTGTGTCATTTGTGGAGGTAAATGAGTGGTACTCTCTTGTGGTCTGAAGCTAGACACTGGATATGTTGGTTCCGGGGCCTCTTGGGAGGGGCTCTGGTGCAGACCAAGGTCGGTTGCTACACATGCCCTGCCCAGGGCCACCTGGTTGGTGCTACAAAGTAATCTGTAGTTGGTAGTTGCCTGTGCAGTGCCCGGGGCCATGTGGGTAAGGCCACACTGCAATCTGAGGCCAACTGCCTGTGAGGAACAGTTACTGAAAAGAGGCTCAGACAGTATACGAATTGTGGAGCAGCATCTCAGGAAGTCACTAGGGTGGGGTGAGTGGCATTCACTAGGTTAATGCAGATTCAGATTGGTAGTGCCAGGTCTGGGGCCACTCAGCAAGAGGCACAGGGTACACCAAAACCAGCCACTGCCTGCTTGGGCCTGTAAAACTCTGAGAATAGGAACAACAAAAAGAAAAAAGAATTTAAAAGAATGAGGAGAGTTTAAGCAACCTCTGGGACAACATTTGCATCCTAGGGGTACCAGAAGGAGAGAGAAAGCAATAAATCAAAAATCTGTTTGAAGAAATAACAACTAAAAATTTCCCTAACCTGGCAAAGGAAATAGACATACATGTCCAGGGAGCACAGAGAGTCCCAAACAAGACGAACCCAACAACACCCACACCTAAACACAGCATAATTAAAATGCCAAAGGTTAAAGACAAAGAGAATCTTAAAAGCAGCAAGAGAAAAGCAGTTAGTTACCTACAAAGGGGAGTTCCTGTAACACTGTCAACTGAGTTCTTCACAGAAACACTTCAAACCAGAAGTGATTGGCATAAAAATATTCAAAATGATAAAAAGCAAGGAGAGAAGGTCAACAAGAAAACAGCAGCCTTCCATGACACATTAGACCAGATTTAATTGATATTTTTAGAGCAGTTCTAAAGTAGCAGAATGTACATTATTTTTAAGTGCACATGAAACATTTTTCAGAATAGATCACATGTTATGCAACAACATGAGTCTCAGTAAATTTAAGAAAACTGAATTTATATCAAGCATCTTCTCCAACCACATATATGAAACTAGAAATCAATTACAAGAAAAAAACTGAAAAACACACAAACACATGGAGGCTAAATAACATGGTACTAAACAATAAACAGGTTAACAAATGAGATCAAAGAAGAAATCAAAAGATACCTTGAGACAAACCAAAATGAATACACAACAACACAAAATCTATGGGATTCAGTCAAAGTAGTCCTAAGAGGGAAAATCATATGCAAAGATGTTCAAGGTCACTAATCATGACAGAAATGCAAATTAAAACTACAATGAGATATCACCTAATACCTGTTAGAATGGCTGCCATCAATAAATCAACAAACAGCAGCGTTGGTGAGGATGTGGAGAGAAGAGAACTATTGTGCACTGTTGGTGGGATACCAAACTGGTGCAGCCGCTGTGGAAATAGTATGGAGGTTCTTCCATACAGTAAAAATAGAACTACTTGTCATTCAGCAATTCCACTTCGGGGTATTTATCCAAAGAAATACAAAACACTAATTTAAAAAGATATGTGCACCCCTATGTTCACTGTAGCACATTATTTATAATAGCAACTTAAGTGCCCATCAATAGACACTTGATAAAGAAGATATGGTACATTTATACCATGGAATATTAGCCATAAATAAAAGTGAAATCTTACCATTTGTGACAACATGGATGGACCTAGAGAGTTTTATGCTAAGTGAAATAAGTTAGGCCAAGAAAGAGCAATACCGTATGATTTCACTGATATGTGAAACCTAAAAAACAAAACAAACAAAACAGAAACAGACTCATAGATGCAGAGAACAAACTGAAGGTTGCCATAGGGAGGGGGTTTGGGAGGCTGGGCGCAGGGATTTCAAGGTACAGATTGGTTGTTACAAAACAGTCATGGGGATGTAAAGTCCAGCACAGGGAATATAGTCGATAATATTGTAATAAATATGGTGCCAGGTGAGTACCAGACTTATAAGGGGATCACTTCATAGGTGATATGAACATCTAACCACCATGCTATATACCTAAAGCTAATATGATCTCGTCAACTGTAATTAAAAAATTAAAAAATTAACACAAGAATCACTTCTCACTCAGGATGGACATAACCAAGCATATGAATAACAAATGTTGGCAAGAAAGTGGAGAAACTGGAACCCTCAAACATCGCTGGTGGGAAGGTGCATGGTGCAGACACACTGGAAAATCGCTGGTAGTATCTCAAAATGTTAACAATAGAGTTACTGTATGGTCTAGCAATTCCACTCCTAGGTATATATACCCAAGAATATGGAAAACTATGTTCACAAAAAAGCTTGAACACAAATGTTCATAGCAGCATTATTCAAAAATAGCTAAAAAAGTGTAAACAACCCAGTTGTCCCAGATGGTAAATGGATAAACAAAATGTGGTATATCCATACAAAGAAATATTACTCAGCCACAAAAAGAATGAAGTATAGATACATGTAGTAATGAGTGAACCTTAAAAAACATTGTGCTCAGTGAAGGAAGCCAGCTGAAGAGGACCACAGAAATGTATGTTTCCATTTATGTTCAATATGCAGAACAGGCAAACCCATGTGCAGAAGTAGATTAGCAGCTGCCAAGGTACACGGGAGGGAGGGATGGAGGATGACTGCTAACGGGTAAGGTGTTTCCTTCTGAGGTGATAAGAACGTCCTGCAATTAGTGGTGACAGTTGCACAAACTAGTGAATACACTCAAAAGCCACTGGACTGTACACTTTAAAATGTACATTTT